CCGAGAGCGACATTTCAATGTACAAGCGACACTTATCAGTGTTCTATTTCTATAAAAACGATAACAGTGAAGAACCTGCAAGTTACATAGGTCTTGTTTAGATTGCAAATTTTTATAATCTGGACACTGTAGCACGTTTCATTTGTATTTGACAAACTTTGTTCGATCATGGACTAACTAGGCTTAAAAGATTCGTCTCGTGATTTACAACTAAACTGTGCAATTAGTTATTTTTTTTACTTACATTTAATGTTTCATGTATGTATCTAAAAATTGATGTGATGAAGAGAGAGTGAAAAAATTTAGAACTTTGAGGCAATCTAAACAAGGGCATAGTATGCAGGGCCCGGAGCCTCATTTGGTGCTATTTGCAGCAGTTCCTGGCCGGACTCTGGAACCTGAGAGCCATGGCAACCAGTTCCCTGCACACTTGCCATGCATTCTTCTCACTCATGCTTTCTGCGTGCTTCAAATTAAGGAAACGCACTCACAGTTCACAGCTGCTTGCCTGCGGCCATTCCTTTTCTTCTCACACACTCATTTCTGAACACCGCCCTTCTTCCCATGGATGGTTTCAGTGGCTACCTGCAACTTGCCAACAATGAGGAGAAGACTCTACACACAAGAGACCCGCCGGGCCGGGGAAGAGAGAGAAAAGGATGGCGTTTGTCAAGGTGTGAAACCCTAACCCTAAGTTGCCAAAGGCAGTAGCAGACAGCGAGGCTGACAGTGGCAGGGGAGGGGGAGGGGGAGGGGATTGGAACTCACAGAGCTGCGCATGTGGAGGCCTGCACCAATTCCAACCTCATGTCTGCAACACCTCGTGTCTGCAACCTTAGGGATGCACAGTTCCACACTAAAACTTTACACACTCTCACATCAAATGCTTGACACAATATATGGAGTATTAAATATAGATTAAAAAATAATTAATAGCATAGTTTACGATTAATTTATGAGACGAATCTTTTAAACCTAATTAGTCTATAATTTAATAATAAAGTGGTACCATACACATGTGCTAATACATATGCTAGCGATTGATTAATTATGCTTAATAAATTCGTCCCGTTATTTACTGACGAATTTTATAATTTATTTTTTTTATTAATATTCGAACACCGCGGCGACGCTTCACGTAACATGCGATGCGACGTGCCATCCTAAAATTTTACGTACCGGATACAATGCCTAAAAAACGCCTTTAAACCCCGTTGGATGCACTAAAAAACTGGCTTCAGATGTGGGCGCCTCCAAATTCCAAGGTGCATGGGCTCCCTTTCCCAATGAACCAGTGCTGGAGTACCCTTTTCTTTAGGGTTTTGTACTTTGGTCTTTGGGTCTTTCAAGTGCTACTCATCTTGTTTTACCGAGGAGAGAGAGAATAATGGCGTCTGAAGAAGAATAGATTTGGATGGCTTTTGCAGTGGCGTGCCTGACTGTGGCCTATTGTTTTTATTTTCTTTAAAAAATAGAAAATATTTCTTTGTTTCATGATTTTGTACCTTAGACTTATTTATTTACTGATGTATATAAATATAAACATATATTGACCAGTAGGGGCCGGGCAACCCCTCCTCTCTCTCAATCTTTCAAAAAAAATATTCAGGAAGAAGATTTTGGGTTCCTATTGAAACTATGTGATCTTAGGCCCTATTTGGCAAGTGGGAACGGTTCTGATTCTTACCAGAATCGTTAAAATCAAGGGTTAATTGGAACGGTGCCATTACATTTTTGAGGTTCTGAAAAAAAACACCATTACTATTCATATATTTTGAAATATGCTATTATAATTTCAACGCGCAGTGAGATGGAGAGAGGAGGAACAACAGGGGCAGTTTGGTCCAAACAAAATTGCGTAGTGCTGTAGTTGGGCCCAAGGTCTTGCAGGACATAGAACATGGTGTATTTCAGAGAGCGTTGAATTTGTAATGGCATATTTTAAAATAGTGAATATAGTAATGGCGTTTCTTAGAACCGTAAAAATTGTAATGGCACCGTTCTAATTAACCCTTTGCATAAATGTGTCCAAAGTATAGGCAGGAGAATAAGCTCTTGGTTCGATGCTCCAGTAGTGTTTATTCTCCGTTTTATCAGCCCGCCTTTCGACTCACAATGGGACAGTGATCATGCTTGCCGTATGTGTTTGAATTACCAAAATGGCTAAATCACTTCGGCAAAATGTTGAGAATTAGTTCTAGAGTTTCTGGCTACAAACGCGTTTCAGCTCCACTCCGTTTGGCATTGATATTAGCTATTTGAACACGAAACTGAAATAAGGTAAATTAGGGACACAAACGGATTGATCCATGACACCAAAGTAGATTATTATTCTACACGATTTCTACATATTTGATGAGGAATGGGAAGGTGCTAGAATGCAAGCTAGGTCTTTTGTCCTGGTGTAATTTTGTTAATAATAAAGCTGTCCGGGGCCAAGGGATTGAAATGGACCGACCGAGACATGACCTTAGATGCACCCAGTGGCTTAAGACCAATTTTACGGACCATAGGCCGACTCATTTTATCTAAAGGCTATAACTTCTCTGGTGCAATTGGTAGCATGAGGCGACCTAAAAATTTCTGCTATCATGGATCATAAATACTATATGCACGAGAACATATCCTGCTCCCATGCCCTTAGGTGCTCCCGTACTCCCATTCAAAAAAAAAAATCTATCAAAAAGTCCTTGAAACATTTAACCAAAAATATGAAGGGATAGATGATGAAAGCATCCACCTTCATGCAAATTTCTACAAGGAGGGAAAAAAGAAAATTGGGCACAATTATATCATTTTGGTTTCTCTTTTTTTGTTTCTCCTGGTAGAAATTTTCGTTCATCTGAATTTTGCATGAATGTTATTCACTACGGGAATCAGGAGATTTGTCGAGTGCCCCTGGCACTCGGCAAAGCCTAAAAAACACTCGGCAAAGGGTTTGCCGAGTGTCACACTCGGCAAACGACACTCGGTAAATTTTTATCGACAAACAGACTTTGCCGAGTGTTTTTTGTCGGACACTCGACAAAGACTTCGCCGAGTGCCCAAAATACACTCGGCAAACATTTTTTTGAAAAATAAAAAAAACCACCACAAAAAAAGCCACCCGGATCCGGCGGCCACGAGCCACCACCGGCCACCACCACCACGCCACCGCCGCTCACCACCACCACGTCACCGCCGCCCACCACCACCATGCCACCACCCGCCACGCCGGGGAAGAGAGGGAGAGGAGGGCGCGACCGCCGGATCCAGGGAAGAGAAGGAGAGGAGGGGGCGGCCGGGCTGGATTTGCCGCCAGGGAAGAGAGAGGAGGGAGAGGAGGGGGAGGGTCGCCGGCGGTGGGAAGAGAGGGAGAGGAGGGGGCGGCCGCGTCGGATCCGTCGCCGGGGAAGAGAGAGGAGGGGACGGCCGCGCCGGATCCGCCTCCGGGGAAGAGAGAGGTGGGAGAGGAGGAGGGTGCCGGCGGTGGGGAGAGAGGGAGAGGAGGGGGCGGCCGCGCCGGGGCCGGATCAGAGGAAGAGAGAGGAGGGGGCGGCCGCGCCGGATCCGCCGTCGGGGAAGAGAGCGGAGGGAGAGGAGGGGGAGGGGCGCCGGCGGTGGGAAAAGAGGGAGAAGAGGGGGCGGCCGCGCCGGGGCCAGATCCGGCCTCCCCGTGCGCCACCGTCGCTAGATCTGCCCATGCGGGGGTCGGATCTGGTGGAGGCGGTGGAGGAGGGAGGAGGAGGCTTGACAGGGAGGGAGGAGGGCGGGGCGGCGGGCCGGAGAGGAGGGGGGGAGGGTGGGGCCACGCCGGGGCCGAGAGGGAGGAGGGGGTGGCGCGAGGAGGTGTGGGGGGGGGGCGCGTGCCTGCATGGATAAGGGAGGCGCGCGTGACGGACGGCATGGGAGAAGGGGAGCCCGTGGTGCTGGGGTTAAAAAAGGATTTTTTTCGTTTGCCGAGTGTCCCAGATCTGGGCACTTGGCAAAGATTTTTTTTATTTTTTTTCTCTTTCTTTCTCAGAAAAAAATATTTTTTTACTTTGCCGAGTGTCCTAGATCTGGGCACTCGGCAAAGATTTTTTTTATTTTTTTTTCTTCTCTTTCTTTCCCAGAAAAAATATTTTTTTTACTTTGCCGAGTGTCCTAGATCTGGGCACTCGGCAAAGATTTTTTTTCACTTTTTTTCTTCTCTTTCTTTCCTAGAAAAAAATATTTTTTCCTTTGCCGAGTGTAAAAAAAACACTCGGCAAACCCCATCTTTGTCGAATGTTTTTTTTTGACACTCGGCAAACCACCTATTTACCGAGTGTTTTTTTTTGCCGAGTGTTTTTATGACAGCACTCGGCAAAGAACTTGTTTGTCGAGTGCCCGAGAGAAAACACTCGGCAAATACAAAAACACTCGGCAAATTTGACGTTTCCGGTAGTGATTAGCAATGCATCAAACTAAATAAGTTCACAAGCAGACCATGATTTTAATTTTGTCTATTTTCACTTTAAAAATATGGTATTCCTCGATCTGCTTTCAAGCATAGGCGTGCTTACGAGTCATGACCAACCATTTTATTTGGAAAAACAAAGAAGATAGACAAAATAAAAAAGGTTGTTATATGGGTACAACTTAGACGCACACAACCTTCACACTCTGCACTCACACTGCACGTGCACACACGCGTGCACGTATGTACACACGCAAAGTTGTTACGTGACAATTGAGACTGTTATACTCATCTGGTACATACTTTCAGTCCTATCAGTCCATTTTAGACTTTGAGGCCAGGCTCTCTTGCCCATTAACCAACTACCCATGGGTCTTTCCGGTCTATTCCCATCGTGATGGGCCGAGTAGGTTGGGAGGCTCCGATCTATTGGGCCGGATAGGTTTCCTTATTTTGATCGGTGCCTTGGTGGGCTAAAAATCAGAACGCATGCCAGCCCGGCCCGTTTCACCAGCGCGCTTGGAGATAAGGCACGGCACCGCACGTCCGCACCGCAGCAGCGTGCAAAGCCGTTCGAAACATGGGCGCCGGTGCCGAGCTGGACGCCTTCGACGCCGGCCGCTGCGCGGACGGGTACGCGTTGGGCCTCGCCGTGGGCCAGCGGTTCTCCGAGGTCATCAGGAGCAGGATGCGGCAGGACCTCGTGCTCCGGGAGCAGCTGCTGCCGTTCGCGTCGACGGCGGAGGCGCAGCCACTGCTCGCCGCGCTCCAGTCCGCCAACAGGGAGGGGTACCCGCGGTACTGGGACGAGCTGGTGGGCACCGCCGACGGCAGCGGGGTCCCGCTCCTCCACGTACGTACAGCGACGCACGCCGTTGCCATCGATGGCGGTCTCTGTCTGTCCGCCGCCGGCGTTCCTGCCGCTGACTGCGTCGTGGTCTGGTCTCTTGCTTCCGTCGGTCCGAGCAGGTCATCCTGGTCAACTTCAGGAAGGAGGTCCTGCCGTTCATCCCGAAGGACCCGAAGGAGGGAGGCGATTGCGCCCGGAAAGAGGAGGAGGAGGAGGAGGCCGACGGCGACTGCTCCGACGTCCTCATTGTCAGCGACTCCACGGCGATCGCCGCGCACAACGAGGACGGGAACGTTGCGCTGCTCGGCCACACGTACATCGTGCGGGCCACGCTGCCGGACGGCGCGTCCTTCACCGCCTACACCTACGCCGGCGAGCTCCCGAGCTGCGCCTTCGGGTTCAACACCAACGGCGTGGTAAGCTCACGCTGTCACGCACCGCAGCATGCCATTGTTACTGCATTCTGAATTTCCATTTCCACATCAGTCAGATTACATCCAAACTGACAGGCCTTCACGCTCAACTCGGTTCCTCCGGTGAACGACGAGATCGTCGCGGGCACCATTGCCCGGAACTTCGTGTCCCGGGACCTGCTAGAAGCGAAGAACCTCGAGGATGCAATGCACGTGCGTAGCTAACTAGACTGAACTCCATGTCACTAGCTCTTTTTTCAGCAGTAATAAAAGCCACAATTGATCGTGGTACAGAGGGTCTGTTCACCGTTCGTCTCAGTCGGCCACAGCTACAACCTGATGGACGTCAGAGGCCGGAGGATCGTCAACGTCGAGACTGCCTCCAGGAACCGGTTCGCTGTCCGCGAGGCCAGCGCCGTGCCGTTCTTCCACGCCAACATGTACCGGCACCTCCAAGTTAAGCAGGTACGGATCAAGGTCGAAGCCATTGAATTGATTCGGCAGTTGACTGACGAGTGAATTGGCATTGCGTCGAGAAGGTGCAGGACGAGAACTCCATGAGCAGGGAGAAGAGAGCTGCACAGTGTTCAGTGGACTCCAAAGGGACGGCGCTTTCGCTACTGGGAGATACAGCTGATGAGAAGTACCCAATCTATATGACAGGTGATTCTCAATCTGTTCAACATTTTTTTCATGTGTTTTGATGAGCATTGGTTGTTGTTGCATCATGGATAACACCCTGGGAACTGCTTTTCAGGTCCGGTATTGTACACTCTGTGCACTGTTTTGGTTGACCTCGACGAGGCAACCATGACCATATACAAAGGAAACCCGAAGAATGGAGATGCAGCTCATGTTCTTCGGATGTTGTGAAACTAAGCAGATCACTGGAACCACTTATAATTTAAAATGGAGGTAGCAGTATATAGGTACCACATGTATGTAAAGCATAAAAAATATGGAAGAGAACCAGTTTTGTCATTATCTTACGTATATGTTAAGTGTACCCAGAAATTTCAGAACCTTACACTACCACTCCATTTGAACGATTATCAGACATTTTAATTTCACAGAAAGAAAAGTTGAAATGCAATAAGATCTGACTGTTTCCAGTGCTGCTATAATATGCGAAACAACCAAGATAATATGATGACTACTATAGCTGGCTGTTAGGCAGCATGACAAAAACCACATAGCCCTGCATAGCCTGCCGGATAATTAATAAGCAATTCAGGAGATAACATAATCCTTAACACTATGGTACTTTTAATGACTGAGCTTGGCACTGATTTAGTGATAGTTTTTTCATCTTCATTTGGAACCTTCTGTCACTATAACCTGAAACCCTGCACGGACATGATAACCATGGTTGATAGATAAATAGAACCTCTAGGTATTGATCTCGTGGGTAAATTCTTGACTTAGATAGAAGACTTAGGTGATGTACCTCGCGCGGACCGATGTCATGGCCACGGTGCCGCAGCGATGCTCGGAGTAGAGGAAGCAGCGACGTGGAGGCGCGGTCAGTGGCGGCGGTGACTACGATGGTGCTTCCCGTCACTCACAGCACACCCTCGGGATCGGTCTAGGATTAGATCGTCGGTGGGGCGCTGGCGGCTGGTCAACCTCGTACCTTGCGCCCCGGCCCCCACCTTCCTCTTTATAGTGCTGCGCGACGGGGGCCCATCAGCCAGGAGAACGGCTGGGCGCCCCCGATCAGGACGCAGATCAAGGGCCCAATTGGCTGTTGGGCCAACTTGGTGGAGATCAACCTAACATTCTCCCTCTTGATATCACTTTATGACTTAAACTTAACTTACTTTATCTTTTTCTCATTCCATCACAGATCAGTGCATAGAGCGTGCCTCATCGTCATGGTCAGTTGCCATTAGATTAAACAGCTACAATGCATCTCTCTGTTTTGAAACAGATTCTCAACTATGTCCTCAGTATCCATAAATCATAGACTTTTCCGTAACCCATGTCGACTGTGTGTTTTCTGAACGCACTGGGTGGTTAGCCTTTGGTAAGCAGATCCGCAAGTACTTGCTTGGTACTTATATGCTCAATGCTTTCAAAATGATTCTGGATTTTCTCATTTACAACATATAACTTAATGTCAATGTGTTTGGCAGCACACTTGCTCTGTTGTCTTAAGAGTTAACTACTTTAAATGGTTATTGCTGTTGACTACCATTGTTAAATCCGGGTACAGATTCCCTTAACCACTTTTGCCTGTTTCTGAGGCCTCATGACAAGCTATACTATGGTATGCATCATTGATGACCACCACAACTGTTTCATTGGAGCTTTTCCACAATAATACTCCAACTGCGAGTGTTAGCAACTACTGTGGATTTCACTACACATCTCGCCAAAACTTAACATTTGTACCCACAACTATTTGAGAGTACTTGTTCTTTCTTACTCAGCATGAGGCCTATGATACTTTGCAAAAATTACAAGACATTCTTAACTCCATTTCCAGTGATCTATATCTAGACTGGACTTCTACCAAAATATCCCGGATACGTAAGCTACGTCAGGGTAAGTTCTTACTTGTACATTCATTAAGCTTTCGACAACTGAAGCATATGAAACTATGTTCATTTGATCGATCTCATATCGGTTCCTAGAACACTAAAAGTTCTCATATCTATTACCCTTGACTATAGGAGTAGGCGTAGGTTTACTCGCATGCATACTTTATTTCTTTAGAATCTTTTCTAAGTATGCCTTTGCGATAGTCCTAATACCCCTTTTCATCTATCTCGGTGAATTTTAATTTCTAGAACCAATGACGCTTCACCAAGATCATTCATATTGAAACTTGAGGACAAGTACTTCTTCTTCTCCAATGACAGATTAACATCACCACTAGTGAGTAGGATGTCATCTATACATAGGATGTGAAAAGTGAATTTTCCATTCTTGAACTTCGCATAAACGCTATTGTCCTTCTTATTTTCTTTAAAACCCAAACTTTCTTATCGTTTCATCAACTTCAAATACTACAGTCTAGAGACATGTTTTAACCCATAAATGGATTTCTACAGGCGGCATCTCATATGTTCTTTTTCTTCCATGACAAAACCTTTGGGTTGTACCATGTAAACATTTTCATACAAATCCCCGTTGAGGAATGTCGTCTTTACATCCATCTGATGTAACTCTAAATCGTAATGTGCTAATAACACCATTATGATTCTAAAAGAATTCTTGCATGAGACTAGAGAGAAAACTCTTATCTTAATCTATTCATTTTCTTTACGTAAAGCCTTTTGTTACAAATCATGCTTTATATCTTTTCACATTCTCTTTGGAGTCACATTTTATTTTGTAGACCCTTTTCATAGCCTACTGTTTTGGCTCCATTAGGAATTTCTTCTAAGTCCCAACCATCGTTGGTATTTATCGAATTCATTTCAACTTCCATAGTTTCTTGCCATTCAAATGAGTAAACGCTTCTCATGGCTTCTTCAAATGAGGTGGGATCACCCTCCATTTGAATTTCTTCACTAACATAGACTTCATAGTCATTAGAAAACTGATTTACTAATTATTTGAGAACTTTTGGAGCCTCAGCTACTGGCACTTTCATGTGGAGCTGTTGTTGCTCTTCATTGCTAAGAGGCAATTGATTCTACAGGCTCCTGTATCACAAGATTCTTATTTACATTATTCATCTTCTTCGAAGAGCCAACAACAGGTGTTGTATAAGTCATACAACATCAACATGTATCGAGAAAATCGTTGTTTTGAATCACTAAATTGGGCACGCAGTCCCGCTTCTTTTCAAGTCATAGGTCTCTACATATCGTGCTCCCCCAGATCATCCCATTTTTTATAAAGATAGTGTATCTTCAAATTTCTTATTTGCGTTTAAACTATTAAAACCTTATATGGCGCTTTAAGCACCGCCTTAATATCTTTGATGGTGACTACGCTATCTTCCTCTCAGAACTTTAAAAAATCTAAGAATTTAGCTGTTTCTCTTGCTTAGGGATATCATTGTTATGACCGACGGTCACATTCATCAAAAACTTTATCTCACTCTTAATGAAGAGTACACATTCATCAACATCTTTATCTCACTCTTAATGAAGAGTACACATTCATCAAAATCTTTATCTCACTCTTAATGAAGAGTAGTTTCTTAATTGATCTTAATTCTTACTCTTAATTCATCTCACAATTCTCCTCTCGAAATATGGCATAAACTTTACTGCCATGATTTCAATAACTATTCAGAAAAACTGTGAACGAGTTGACACTTATGACTTACTTCATTCACATGATTATGCCATGCAAATAAAGTTATTTCTTGATCCGTATAGGAGTACACTGTCCCCATTTCACTTCAAGAACTCAACGAGGTCTTTTGTGAGCGATGCTTTTGCAAGTCATACTTGCATCATTTCTTATCTTTTGGTTAGTATTGATCATGACGGTGTATTTCTATTGTGTCATGGTCAATACTAGGATAGCATAAGAGCTACCCCAACTTCTCTCACTATGCGGGATACAAAAACATATGAGTCATCACAAAACTTCTCCCGCCATGCATGATGGACTAGCATAAGTATTATGCCAAACTTCTCCTCATGCGGGATAAATCTATATACAAACACGCATGCTTAATCCAACGTTGGTCAAATTAGATATGCATGTTACTTATTGCAACTCTTATAATAAAAACATTCACTTATACTTTATTTTCCAATTAAATCTTTCCGTTGTTTCCAATTTAATTAGAAAATTAATAAACTAACAAAAAACAATCCTAAACAGGCTTGACTCAAGCCTTTTCATTCACATAGCCTAGCATTGCAGCCCGTTGGCATGCAGCCGAGTGATTTCGTCGGTTAAATAAACAAGGTGCTTCTGCATCAATTCTACATCACCGTTGGGCAGAAAATAGAATTAATGCATAAAAATCATAAATCAACTTGAAATACATATAACTACTCTTCAAAATTAAATTATCCCGTTGGTTCGAATTTAATTAGAAGATAATCAACATCATTGTAGCAAAAACTTGATAATAAAATACATTTGTTTTAGTTCAGAAGCATTTCTTGGACCTTATCTACTCGCTGAAAAATTGACCACATTGGTGTAAAATTTATCAGAGATTTAATCTTCAAACTTAAATTCATTATAATATTGTTATCATCAACGTTGGTCAGAAAATAACAATACCATAATCTAACATAAACAAATCGGACTACTTCTCTAATTTAAATTTTCCCGTTGGTTCCAATTTAATTAGAGTATAAACATAATCATAATTTACTAAATGCAACTGCTCTTCGAATTAAATTCTCCAATTGATTCGAATTTTATTAGAAGATAATAAGCATTAACTTCGAAGCGAAAACATGAAATAGTAATTTATCTACTTTTCAGAAGCATTTTACTGTACTCATCTACTCTCTAAAAAATTATTTCATTGGCTCAAATTTGACAAAGATTTAAACCTTCAAAATTGACTAAAATTCATCTAAAATTGCTTCTTAAAATAATAAAACTAAATTCAAAAAACTATTACTGTTATTCTAGCCCGAAGGCCCAGCTCGCGCGACGCGGCCCATTCATACGCTTGTTCCCGCGGCGGCCCAGCGGCAAATCCGGCCTGTGACCGAGCCACGCGCACCGCGCTGCCCCGCGCCCAGGCCAAGCCCAAAGAGGCCCATGGCCTACTTCAAGTACAGCGCACGCCCGCGTACCAGGCCCAACCTGGGCCTGGGCCGTGATATCACTCGCCCGCCTAGGCCTCATTTAGCCGGTCGCGCGGCGCCGTCGAGTGGCACCGTGGTGGTGCTCTTTGCGCCCCCACACGTGCTCTTCCCTAAACCCTAAATCCCTTTCTT